ATTATTATTATTATCATCACTGAACACATACGGATTGTATTCGCCGTGTGTTATTTACAAAGCTATTCAAAGTATAAGCATTATTTTAGAATTCCTGAAAAAGTTGAGTTTCGGCATGAATGTAAGGATTTTGAGGAATAGGAATGGAAAGAATTCAAGCCATTCTCTAGTGTCCTCGTCTAAATTGTAAGCGTGTGCAGCTCAGATCTCACCAAAATAAAAGTGATCGTAATGGTCACGGAGAAGAAGCAGACGTCTTAGTTTAGAATTTAGCAGCCAGGTAATGTCCTAAACAACACACTCAAGACGTTGTTAGCACCTTGGTCACTTTATTATTTTAGAATGRTTGTCAGGGATATCTTGCAGAAGATATTGAAAGCCGCATGAGCTTGCTAATATCACTTGATGAGGTGAACAGCAGATTTGCAAGTCTCTCCGTTTGCGCGCGTCGGCTACACTTACAACGGAAATAAAGTTAGGTTCGGTAAATTTTAGTCGCTCAGCAGTTAACACCAAAAAAGAAAGAAAAACTTGGAGCTAATGAGATACGAAACTGCAAATTGTCCCCAAAGCCAGGCTCATTGTGTTGGCAGCAAAATTGTATTATTAAAAGAAAACGAAAAAGCGGAAAATATATAAAAGCCATACTCCTATTTTGGAACGTTATGACTTGAGTACGTTTTGTAKGAAGTATTTATTCATCTCATGCTAATTTTCATTCAAGTGCAAATTAATAGCAAAACCTAGAAAACTATGATAAGAAAAGGATCAAAAGTAGTGTTAGGAAGAAACTCAAGCCGCTATTTCCTCTAGCTGGGCTTCACCAAGTTGATTGAATCTTATGATTCTAATTATATTTCCAAATGAATTGTTTAACTTTGACATTTATGAGCAATCAAACAGCAATAGTTGTCCGTAAAAAAACTTGTTTTAATCAATTCGGACCAGTCTCCTCGCAGCTGTTCTTTGTGGAAGGCTTCCTGTCCGGGACAGTTGGGCGGGCGTCAGGGAGCCTGGCACTAAGAACGGCTGCGAGGAGACTACATCCGGACAAAACAGAAAAGGATTTCCAGATAGTGAAGGAAGCTCCAATAACCACAAAAAAAAAAAACTACTGCTTTACCTTCTGTCGACATTTTAACTCTACTGCTAGTGAGCATTTTTGTAAAAAAGGGATTCACCTATGGTATAATTGGTGTTTACCTTTGCGATATTCAAGGGATCTGAAAACATCATGAAAGTCATTTCAGATGTGTATAATTTATCTTTTTTTTTCCTACCATTTGTAAACCATTGACCTGTCCTTATTTGTTTTTACTATTTACAAGTCAGTGGTTTATATCTATTCACGACTTTCCGTACTCAGGTTCAGTGACCACAAACAAAGCATTGTACCTAGGCTTCAAGGAACACTGATCACAGATCATTTCTTTTATGTTTACTGTACCTTGACGCCTCGGTTCAATGCTTTGTTCGCGGTCGCTGTGAACCTCAGTATGGAATATCGTGAATAAACTTTAATCTCATTTCTGTTATTAAACTTGACTTGACTTGACTTATCAAATTCATTATCAAATTTTTGATTTTGAAAAAAAGGCTTGTATCGAGATAAAAAGTTCACCTGGATTTATGTTCACAATAGATGGTCCTTGACCACATGGACAGCAGTCGCTTTTTGTTCAATTAATGCCATATGCCTCTACTGCACATGAATAGCTCGACTGTTCCACTTACACCCAACCATAACCACAACAACATCACGAAACTCCTTGTTGGTGCGAGTAAGCATTAGTGGGTTGAGAATACTATTTACAAAGCCAAAAAATGTCAAAGCTAGGTGGGTTCCTCTGTCCAGGAAGTACGGTCTGTAGGCGTCCGCCATTTCTATGCTAGTCGTAAGAATACTGCACAAACAATAAACGTACACTATTCCCAGAAGTGTTCTGGTGGCCTGGATCTCATCTTTACTAGTAGTTTGTTCGACCTCCTCTTTAATCATCTCAGGAACTGCAAATATTTGAATGCGTACTTTACCCCGAGTTTCTCGCTTATGTTCTTTGAGTTCATTATAAGCTTTAAAATGACAAACAGTGTTTATACACAGCGGTATTACCGCACTGAATAGAAACTTGGAGATTGTGAGATACCCCGCAATGGTCAAGTCTTTGTAAGTGAATAGGCACATTCCTCTTCCGGGATGGAACTCGAACGTTGCATCGCTTACCGTTGTAACGACAATAGCTATTATAAGGCTTACACACCACGTGATAGTTACCATGGCGATGGATGCGCATTTATTGTAAAGAGAAGGGTATATTGAGGGCCAGTATACGTTACAGAGTCGGTTTATTGAGATCATGTAGATCGTCATGAGTTTTCCAATTTTACAAAGTGTTGTCATGAAGCCAGTGAACATGCAGCCCGTTTGTGAAAATCTCATTTTACCATTTATTAGTACATCGATCCATAGCGGCATGACGGTGACCTGAGTATGCAACAGAAGTATGGAATGTAATAATTAGAGAGTTTTTTAAAAAGGGCTACTTGGACGAAAATTGCGAAACATTAGAAAAGACTTGGAAATCAAATAGACCTATCCATTTACTGGTAATAATCATGAAGCAACAGATTTCAAGAAGATATTGATACAAATCCTTAATAATTTGGGCAAAATGTTGGAGTAGATGACGTCATCTACTCCATCCTTTTGTTCTTCCATCTTTTGAAGCAAAATTTCTCTGATTTGGGATAATTCCAAGACAAATATTTTCCCGCATTTGTTTTTAATAGATATAAATGAGTCATATATTTGTATTGCTTGAAGTTTTGAAATAAGGCCATTTCCATGCAAGTAGCACTTTAAGCATCACGTTTACGGCAAACGGCTAACGGCAGAGCTGAACCAATGACCTAAGAATTTCGTGCCTGACTTTGTGCTTATTATGGCAACTCAAGACAACCCACTTTCGTGTTGAAACTGTAACGGTGGGACCCCAAAGAGCGGGTCACGTGATCTTTTCTGCCGTTTGCAGTTTGCCGTGAACGTCAAGCTTAAGCTCTATAAATATAGCAAATGCAGCCAGATACTTTTGTTAGATGGTAAATACACTTTATACGGACTCCAGCTGCTTTCGCTGTTCTACTCCATCCTGATGATGCTGTAGAACAGCGAAATCTCGACTCCATTGATATATATAAGGTGAATTTACCATCTAATTACAGTATCTAGCCGACTTTCCTATATTTTTACTCTCCTACTAACATGCTGCTGAAGGTAACTTCTCAAGAAGTATGGAATCTATCAATTTGTGATCATAAATACATGGATGACTGCATGAAGAAAGAAACGAGGATACGAAAGTCACAACCTACACTATAATTTAAAKGCTCTTTTAGGGACTTGGGAAATATTTTTGCCAAGCCTTGCATGCAGTTTCTGTGAAATCATTTAAGATGGATGGGATTTAATTTACTAGAATACGATTTAGTACACCATTCGGAATAGAATAGCTGCATATGCTTGCTCATTAAATACCAATTGTCAATTTTATATGTTTTGCATTTGATTCTATATAAAAACTCAATTGATAATGATCATATTATTATGAACTAAGGACAACCTATCTGTAGGGAGCAAACAGAAATTGCGCATGTCACTTACCTCCCAAGTAAGGTCTGCAAATGCAAGGATAACTAGAAAGAAGTTAGTCAACTTGTGCAATTTTCTATTCTTGATGACACAGAAGCACACTGTGAAGTTTAGGCCCCAGGTTAGGAAGAGGAAGACGAGGGCAATGGAAGAAGCAACGCTTATTCGACCTCTATGMCGACTTGAAAGTTCTCGATAAAGATAAATGACGTATTGGGTCTTGTTCATTGTGATATTGAATCAATTCATAACCTGAAATGAATGTTAATATTATTATTGGGAGATCTAAATTTTAAGAAACTGCAATTTGCCACTATCAAACATCGTTGATGAGGAACTCTATGATTGTTGGATCAGTAAGCAATCCGCGCTGGAAAAAATCGCGCGCTTTAAAGATTGTAAATTTGATGTAAATATGATATAAGTGTCCAAATTCTGTAAATTTGATGTAAATGATTTCCATTAAATTTACAGAATTTTGGACACTTACATCATATTTACATCAAATTTACAACTTTTAAAGCGCGCGATTTTTTCCAGTGCCGCAAGGCTGCATACACCCATATAAGGCACTCATATAAAAATACCTTGACCCAATATTATACCACAAGTTTTTTTTAATCTGTAAGCTGTGTCTTTATTATACCTCGGAATTTCTATCTTTGACAKAAGGTTTAGGATGCGTTTGAGGACAATAGTTCAGAGTGTAAAAAGGGACTCTTTAGCTACTCGTTTTACTGTTATAGCCGTCGAAATACGACGTAAACTTCCCAAAACGGACTATTCATACTCACTGTAGTATCTTAGTCTAGTACAGATAAAAAAAAACATTAACAAAGTAATATTTACTTTTCAAATTTGCATCTGCACCAGATACTTTGATGGAGCACTAAAAAATACGTTTTCTCTCAGGCAACCTCATGTTCGAATTTTTGTCCTTGGAAAGGCAGAAATTTTGAGCTACATTTGTTGACAATCTACAAGCATTCCTTCTTTAAGAAATTCTTAAGGAATTTTTATTCCTGGTAAACGTTTTTATCGTCAAAAACGGCTTATATATTTTTAGTTGGGAAATTTTTATTTTCCTGGCAAAATTCTTAGAAAGTATTCCTTGCCTGAAGAGCTCTTTATTCCTGAATTTCTCGCTGGCTGGGACAAAAACAGATATATTTCTCCTCCTTAACTATAGCCGAATGAGTAATAATTTCACTCAATGAGATAATTAAGTTTACAGTGTTCAAGCTTTTTTTTAGGATTATTTTTCGTTCCTTTGAAGAGGAAGACCGATAGAAAAGCCTGCATATGATAGACGTCTCCGTCGTGACAAGGTATTTTGCAAATTAAACCATTTCACAGTGAAATATCCATGACAACGTTTAGCTGTGATGACAAGTTGTTAAATAATTTACTTTTTCAAGATAGTAAGCGTTTAACAGACTTTATTAATTAAATAGAAATATTATAAAGCTTAGCAAAAAGTTTTTGAATTTTCCAGCTTTAACTTGAAAATGAAGTAATAGAAGAAATTCGTCTTACAAGAAGATCAGAACACTAAAATGTCATTATTTTAAGAGTCGATTCGTTGTGCGATATTACATAACAAAAGGTTTCAAAAGATTACAATATTAGGAGAACTTTCATATAATTGCATATGTAATTATCAGCAGAATTAAGCTTCTCTTGAATTCTTGATAAGTACAATTGTCAATCGAATGTAAAACGACAAGGACTTTTCATCACCCTCATTTGCATTTTAACTTGTRTAACAGAAATGACAGACTTTTTTTAAGCTAGTGTTCCTCAGTAAACTTTATCAATAATGATTATCTCGTKTCATGAAAATTGAAGAATTCCCACCCATGAAGTGATATTCAATTCAATTGCTTTTAATATCTGTAATTTAGCTCTGAATCGGAGGCAGAATGATACGTCTAAGAAGAAGTACAATCATATTTAATCTTTTTATCTAGTATATAAATTCCACACAGCTTACAAAAACATTAAATTTGTAAAATAAGTTTATCTTTGGACCGTTAGGACTTTCGATTGAAATAACAGACTTTTACACTATTTATTTCTAGAGGAAACCTGTATTATCATTAAATTCTAAGCTGAATTAAAACGAGTTAGAAAAGAAAGTACCTTTTTTTGGTGGCAGAAGTGGGACGAGTCTTGTGAAATCAATGCTACGTTTGGATAGARAGAAGATTTGCTYTTCACTGTATGCAAATTAATATGCGTCGCTAAGCAACGTTGAAAGATGATAGAAAGGTTTAGCTATAAAAATGACTTATTTGACTAAAGCGATCGATTCATGGGGTTAATATAATTGATAMGTTCTCGAAGTGATATCGAGACAAAACACCGAGTCGGAATGTGGCTGGATAAGTGTTTTTATGCACWGYTTGAATAAATTAAAAATACTCTTATTTTTGTGCACTTCCTTGATATGTCCTACTCATTAATGCGTCGCCAGCTTTTAGCGTGATTTTCTAGCAAGTTAGAAATGATWATTGAATTGCRGCAAATTGGACCGAGTWTTGATATATCGCCCCTTGATCTCATCTGATATAGAACTCAAACGTGAACCTCACTACTGAGAAAAGGAAAGAACTATGTTTGCGCCACTTTTTGAGCAGATGTTTTTCTATTTTAGTCTGTTTTTGCTATCGCTTCATGTTGTTCATGTTGTAACCTGGTTTGAGTRAGCTGCAATCTATTATATGCAGATGTTGCTTTTTCGTTATCGCAGAAACTTGAAAATATCATTATTTGTGCCCAGCACGAACTAGAAGTCAAAGACGTTTTTCCTTTTCTTGCACAAATTGCCGACGATTAGCACTTAAAATGTAATACGAAATTAAAATTGATTCAGTATATAGTGTTTCTCTTGTTTTGCTATTTTAAAAAGACAGTTATGAATGGCGTTTCACTATCGAAGAGAAAGGACTTTATTCTACATATTCTTTTCTGTGCGATCCGCAAGTCCTACAGCTATTGTCTAGGGATATTATGAGTAATTCCGACTATAAATGATAGTTGTTCTGTCTCTTTTCCAACGTACTTCACAGAATGTCGACAATGGAATGCAAAATGTTGGTTTAGTTCTCTCATCAAGGCACTTCACTGGAAAAAAATCGCGCACCATAAAAGTTGTAAATTTGATGGAATTATGTTGTAAGTGTCCAAAATGATTTAAATTTGATGTAAATCATTTACATCAAATTTACATCATTTTGGACACTTACATCATATATACATCAAATTTACAACCTTTGTGGCGCGCGATTTTTTCCAGTGTTATTGTGTTCTTGCGAGCTACATCTATATTCTAGCGTGTAGGTCAAATTTTGTATAAAAATGGYGTATATTCAGTTCCCAAGGTAAAGAGACTATTTATTATAGATATTTTTTTAATTTTGTATACAAAATAGACTCTGGTAAATACTGTATTACAGCAGGTTGTAAGAATTTGAAATGAGCGGATATGCGTGGTACTGCAATGATAAGTCGCGGCTCAAAAACATTTTCGAATGATTGTCAAGGTAATCTTTCTGGAATAAAAGACCCCATACTATCGAGAACTGTTTTAAATAGGAAATAAAATGTTAGTTGATTTTGAAAGTACCTCTTAGATCGCTCGAGTGCTRTGGTTCCGTCGTCTGGGAATGAATGKATGGCGTGGAAGATAAATACAACTGTCAGACTATTTGTTTTCTTTTGCTCTCACCGCAGTAGATCAAATATTACTCATGTCTGATCTTCTTTCTTTAGTCTGTTGTGGGACATGACAGGCGAGAAGGGTGTAGTCAATGTATCAGAAAATAAGGCGTAGCCGATAGCATTTAAAGCATAAAATCCGTTGGAGAAAAATTCTTGTTTTGCTGTCGTTACAGTGAATTTAGAATTACTTACAGTCGTTGTAAAATTTCGTTGCACAACTTCATGACACCCGGAAGACTTCTTGTAGTTCGTCTAAACACAGTCCTTATGATAATGCGTTTCACATATGACGTCAGAGTGCCACTTGAAATACTATTTAATAGACGGCGCTGACGTCAAGATATGGGGAAGTGCATGAACCGTGTGTGACCGCGCGCATCTGTATTTGAGCCTGTAGCTCATCCTTCAATGTATCGTATATATGAGTCAATATACCTTCATTTTTCATCAAAGTATATATAATTTATAGATTATTGGTAATAATAATAGCAGATATTATTCAATATATCATACATGACA